CACCAGCAGCAGCAGCAGCAGCAGCAGCAACAGCAGCAGCAGCAGCAGCAGCAGCAGCAGCAGCCTGAATGGTCTCAAGCAGAGGTGGAGAGTTGGTTAAGTTCTGCAGCACTGAGGCAAACAATTAAATATTTTTTAAATGAAGAAGAAGAAAAGGTATTCTACTCTAAACTGCGAGACAAAGCAAACAGTATGTGGGGACTGCAGCAGCAGCAGCAGCAGCAGCAACAGCAGCAGAAACAGCAGCAGCAGCAGCAGCAACAACAGCAGCAGCAGCAGCAACAGCAGCAGCAGCAACAGGAACAGCAGCAGCAGCAACAGGAACAGCAGCAGCAGCAGCAGCAGTACCAAGAAAGGAGAGAGCAAGCACACAAAGGAGACACCTCAATGCCCCAGAGCAGCAGCAACAAGACAGAAACAGCAACAGAGACAGACGCAAAAATAACAGAGACAGAAAAGGAGACAGAGAAGAAAGAGACAGAGATAAATAAAACAGAGACAAACACCCAAACAGCCGCTGCAGCAGCACTTCAAGAGCCGACCTTGATCACTAGCAGCAGCAACAGCAGCAGCAACAGCAACAACGGGAGCAGCAGCAGCAGCAGTGGCGGCAGCAGCGGGAGCAGCACCAGCACCAGCACCAGCAACAGCAACAGCAACAGCAACAGCAGCAGCAGCAGCAGCACCAGTACCAGTAACAGCAACAGCAGCAGCAGCAGCACCAGTACCAGCAACAGCAGCAGCAGCAGCAGCAGCAGCAGCAGCAGCAGCAGGGTTTCTGGGGGCTCTGTTTCTAATTTTTCTGTGTCTCTGTCTCCTCAGTCGTACAAAGATTGGCTGTTAGGAGATCGGGGGGTCGGCTCTGAAGGAGACACCAGCGAGGAGACAGCAGAAATTGTCTCTTCTCGTGTGGGCTGCCTTGGCAGCAGCAGGCCCCTGTTGTCTGCTGCAGATCAAATGCTGCCCTATATACAGTACTTCCAGCAGCAGCAACAGCAGCAGCAGCAGCAGCACATGCAACAGCAGCAAACGCAGCAGCAGGAGATGCAGCAGCAGCAGCAGCAGCAGATGATGATGCACCAAGATGAGCCCCAGCTCCAGCATGAGCTGCAGCAAGAGCTTCAGCAGGTGCTGCAGCAGCAGCAGCAGCAGCAACAACAACAACAGCAGCAAGAAGACTTGCTTCTTGCTGGAAAGTATGACTTAAATGAAGAGACACTTAAAAGTTTGCTGCCTCCACCCGAAGGGCCCCACAGCAACGCCGCTGTTGATAGCTGGGCCGGCTCAGGGGGGATAGAAATAAAAGGAGACACCTGAGGAGACACCTCAGAGGAGACACTTTTTTAAGACTTTTAAAGGAGACAGACACCTCAATAGAGACATCTTTTACAGAGTTTTAAAGGAGACAGACAGCTTGAAAGAGACATATTTTAAGGCTTTTAAAGGGGACATACACCTCAATAGAGACATATTTTAAGGCTGTTTAGCGGAGACAACTCAAGAAAGAAATTTTTAAAAGAGTTTTAGAGCAGACACCTCAATAGAGACACTTGCAGAGACACTGCATAAACACTTTTAAAGGAAACAGAACAAAGGAGACACCCCATTACCATCCGCATGCACAAAGATGTATACGTGTCGCATGCAGTGCCTTTAAATTGCTATTTATATTTTAGTTTATAAACAAAATCTAAATACAGTATTGGGTTGTATGTACACCACCAGCAGCCTTTAAACACCGCGATGTCTTTATATTTTCGCATAAAATATAGTATAATAGTTAAATATAAATGTAAATATATATTTGTAATTAATTATTTCTTTTATTGTAGTATTTATTTGGCTGTTTTGCGGTGTATGTACACCTGAGAATTTTAAACACCCAACGGGTTGCGAGGTCACCATCAATATAAACTCAGCAGAGAATAAATAATTAAATAATAAATTATAATTTTAAAAATAAAATTTAATTTATTTTAATTATAATTATTATTTTCTTATTTCGATTTGTTTTCCCTCAACTTTTACACAAAAATATCTTCATTCTATACACCTGCTCTTAGCGACCCCCGCGCCCTAAACCCTAAACCCTAAACCCTAAACCCTGAATCTGGAGTCAAAAGTAAATCCAGTAGAACTCATTATTCTTGAAATGTTAAATTAGATTTTAGAATTAAAAAGAAAATTATTTTATGTCTTGATAAGCAGGATGCCTGCCAGCCCCTAAGACCTAAACCCTAAACCTTAAACCCTAAACCCTAAACCCTAAACCCTAATAAACCCTAGCTAGACTCATAGATCCAACCCCTGCTCTGGGGTTTACCTCCCTTTATGATGGAGGCTCAAATACCCCCGGCAGAGAGAGATGAAGATCTTAATTATCAAAACGTGCAGAACAAAGAAGAAGCAGCAATCATCGAAGATAATGTAATAGATAATATACCTCCAAGCCTAACACCAGAACAAGTAAGACATAAAAGTTTAAAACATTTAGGGTTTTAGGGTTTAGGGTTTAGGGTTTAGGGTTTAGGGTTTTAGGTATGGTTGCCTCAAATTATTAAGAAGCAACCGCAGATGTTTACAACGTAGGGTTTAGGGTTTAGGGTTTAGGGTTTTATTATTTAAGTTTAATTTTCAGGCGGAGAAGGTGCGTGCATTTATAGAGAAAGAAAAAGAAAAGAAAAACAAAGAAGACAATAAAAAAGAAAAAGAAGAAGAGGTTTATGATGTAGACGACATAACAAAACTTTTAGTTGATTTGAGGTAATTAAAATCTCCTTAGGGTTTAGGGTTTAGGGTTTAGGGTTTAGGGTTTGAGGGTTTAGGGTTTGAGGGTTTAGGGTTGTATGTTATGCATTTTTTGTGTATTTCTTTGCTTTAAAGACTCATAAAACAATTTTAAAAAATAATTTAATAAAACAAACGATAATAAAGATAATAATTCTCTCTATATTAAATTAAATAATAATATTCTTTTTATCTTTAATTTTATTTGTATTAAGGCCGGAAGTCTCTCAAGAACAAATCGATAAACTTTTTGAAGAAACTGCAGGTGGTTTCACCGGGAAGGTGCAGCAACAACATTTAATAGACATTGTTGAAGTATGTCTTTAAACCCTCTAATATATATAACATAATATATATATATTTATATATTTATATATATTTATATATATATATATATATTTATATATATATATTATGTCTACTGCCTATACAAATATGCAGATATATTTATATTTGCGTATGTATAAATATATAAATATATATAAAAGAGAAGCGAAGAATTCAGATAAAGTTTTTTTGAGAGAGACAAAAAGGTTATATAATATATCTATAGTATATATATATATGTATATATGTGCATATATATATGCATGTATATATATATATAAGTTTATATATATTTTAATATATATATTATACACATATATACACAGATATATATATATATATAGATGTATATATACATATATATATATATATTATATTTATTGTTTTATGTGCATGCATGTTGTATACATTTGCAGGCTGTGTGCAGTTATAAACTTGAGAAGGAAGAGTTAGCGTCAGCATTTGCTTTGTTTGATAGAGATAGGAACGGGTATATAGATATAAATATATTAATTAGTTTATTAGAAAAGGGTGATGAAGGTCTAAGCAATGAAGAGATAAATAGTTTTCTTTTGTTTTCTAAATGCAAAGAAGATACGTGTTTTAATTATCAAACATTTATTTATAATGTTGCATTTCAACCAATCGTTTTAAATGCAGAACAGAAGAAGAAAGGCAAGAAAAACAAAAAAAAGAAATAAATAAATAAATAAATAAATAAATAAATAAATATGTCAATATATGTATATATATATATATAAACTTTACTTTTCTCATTTAATCATACATTATCATTTATTATTATTATTATTATTATTATTATTATTATTATTATTATTATTATTATTATTGTTTATTAGCAAGCATTCTTCAAATAAAACAACGAAAAAAAAAGAAAACAATAAAAAATAATTAAGCAACAAATATTATTCAAATGAGACATCAAATAAACAACAAAAGGATAAATAAATAATTAAATAACAAACTTTATTCAAACAAAACAAAGAAAAACAGAAAACAAACAACAAAAGTATAAATAAACAAACAAACTTTATTCAAACAAAACAACAAAAAAATAAACAAAAGGCTAACGCCCGCATCAAAACAAAATTATAAATTTGCGGAAACATAATTTTTTCTTTTGTTTTTTCTTTTGATTTTTGTTTTGTTTGTTTGTTTAAACAACAGTATTATTCATTTACTTCCTCTAGTCTTTATAAATAAATATATATATATATATATATATTTATTTATATATATTTATTTATTTATATTGATATTTTCCTATGAATATGTTTTCGTATGCTTTTATGTGAATGTATTGATGTGCATATGCATTTAAAATATAATATTTAATATGTATATA